ATATATATATATATATATATATATATATATATATATATAAATATAGATAGATAGATACATTATCTAATTTACTTCTTGCAAAGCTTTGAAAAGAAAATTTTGTTTGAGCAATGTTCATTATAGTATTAGAAAGGGTCCTGGCTAGAGATAAGACTTTTTACAAACCCAGCACCTTCAAAATTATGAGATTTAACGAGGGTTGATAGCTGGGGTTAGCAATAAATTTATAATAGTATAAAAATACTAGGTTTGGTTTTCATTAAAATTAACTAGCCATTTTAAGCCCCAAGCTGTCACAGAAGAGACATTGCACTTAAGATCAGCTGTGATCAAAAGTAGTGACTGATGTCAAGATGGGAGTGTATAGTTGTTTTGTCAGCAAATAAAATCATTTTTAAATGTACAGGACAAAAGATGGAACTGTGTGGTACCCTTAAAGTTAGTGTAAATGATAAAAAGTGTCAGTCTTTAAGAACAACTTTAAAACTGCATTTAGTAAGGATTTATTCAATAATTTTGAAAACTTTCCCTGATACACCATATTAAGCGAGCCTATCAACAGTCTTTGATGTCTAGAGAAATGACTCTTGTTTTGCTGCCTCTAATTCCACAAAAGAATCTTTCTGTTATAATAGTTAACAAGTCAGGCGAATGAGTTAATCAGAGTGGGATTGTTAGAAAGTTTTAAAATTATATATTAAAAGTTTGTTAATTCACATTGCTTTTCAGAGAGTAAGTTTTATAACTTATATAAGATTTTAGACTTATATAAGATATAATAATTTGTTAATTAAAGACTCAAAGACCTTGCTAGTAATAAGAAGAAGACTGATTGGATGATAGTTAGAGTAGTCAGATTTTTTTTTAGAGGTTTTAACAATTAGAAACACAGATTTCATTTTCCAGCAAGCAGGATAACAGTTTCAGTTAAGCACTTGCTAAATAGTTTAGAAAGTATTGAGATTTCTTTTGATTATGTTTTAAATGTTGTCACAAGTTGTAAATGAATTTAGGATAGAAATAAGTTTGAATTTAGGATAGAAACAGAGTGATTAGGATATAAAGGCCAGAAGCTGGAGTGATTAGAATAAAGGTATAGATTCTCTATTATATATTATATAGATTGTATATATATGTATAGAATATTATATATTATATAGATTATATATAGAGAGAGAATATAGATATAGATTGTCTATTATATGTTATATATATATTATATAGGTATAGATTAACCTGTTTCTCTTGGATGACAGAAAGAGTGCGATTTCAAGAGATTAGTTAGAAGTTGTAGCTGCACAAGAAGGTGGAAACTACATGATAAAGTGATTAAGAATAAATGTTTTTTATACTTGCACAAATCCAGGAAAATAAGTAGGAGAAGCAATTATTAGTAGAGAGACCAAAAATATCAGCCCAAAAGTCTTGAAGAATTTTATGAAAGGAGTCACAGTCACCTTTAAAGAATTAGTAAAAAGTACAATGATAGGGTGAGTCTCAAAAAGAAGTATGAAATAAAGGTTTTTGTGAGATTGTACCATGGTCTGAACCAACTAAAGATTTGTCTGAATTAAAATCTGTTTTCATGACAAATAGGTGAGTTGATATTTAAGTTTATGTCGAGGTCAAGCATGTGACTATTGGAGTCTTTACTAATTAATGGATATGAAATAGTCTCAAAAAAAGCAAGTAAGTCTGATGATTTCTACAAGGTTCAATAAATGAAAAGTTACTTGACCATGAATATTTGTAAAAGATAGTTTGAAACAATTTGCTGGTGGTAATAAATTTAATATTTTCAGGTACTAGTCATAACGTAAGCTATTAGAGAGCTTGACTTAATCATAGATAGTGGCACCATGAGCAAAGAATAAAGAGCTATGTATTTGCATCAGAATAGCTAATTAACCCAAAGTTGTTATAAAAGGCTTTTTACTTGGCCTCAACATTGCACACAAAAAGCACTAACATGGGCACCATTTATACTCATTATTACACTGTTACTACTCTGATATTTTACATCTATTGAGATGTCACTTTAAAAACTAGTTAAGGAAATCTTACTTACAGCCTCAGAACCATTGAATTGTATTTTAGAGCATTACACTCATTAGAAGATTACAGAAAGAGTTGCGTAGTTACCACAATTGAATAGGCACAATCATGTCAAGGAGATCCAGTGTTCCATTATCCAAGGCTAGAAATGTAGCACATTTCCATCTGGTTCCGTTCATCTACTCTAGATGCCGTTAATATCTGCTTAAGATAATTTTTTTATATGAGACAACATCTCTATAGTTTACTAAACCTATAATTTAAGACAAGGGTATGCCAGAGTTAACTTCTTCTAGACTTTGCTTAGGAAAGTGAATCCTACAAAGCAGTAGGACATGGAGCAGTTGTACTGTTTCCAGTCTCAGAATAATCATGTTAATCCTAAACTTAATTTGACCAGAAATAGTAAAAAAGATACTAAAGGATATAACATCGCATAGTATATCATCAAATATCACATAATTTAGTTATAGTTCCTTAACTTTTAATTTCTTTTTTCTTTTAAAAAAGAAATGTGCTCAAGGGAAAACCAAAGCTTGCATATCTAGTTTTTTTATGTTCAAAATCATTTTTTTTTTTTTGAAAAATATTGTTTAACAACTTTTATGATATTGCTAGTTAAGTTTGAGACCTGTTGTTTTTTTTAAACATTAAAGTAAGCAATTCCAGTCTTTTTGAGGCAGTCTCAGGGCCGGATTTACACTTCTGGGGGCCCTAGGACGGGTTATGTTTTGGGGCCCTTTTTATATATAATAATTGTAAAAAATAGTAAAATAGTAAAAATTCTGAAGTTTTTTGACATATTGGGGAAACAACAGAGAATGTATTTATAAATCTATTAACCAAATATGTTGATATACAAAACTACTATATACTATTATACATTTGTTTATATTTTAGAGTTGATTAAAGAAAGTTTAATTTCATTCAAACTAAAATCTTATCTGTTCTAAAGGTTGATTTGAAAGAATCTTCACTTAAATTGAACATCTGTTTTGTGTAACCATTTTCTTTGTCTTTTGCATGTGAAGAACCAAATAAAATATAATTTAACTTTTTTTTAAATATAATTTAACTTTTATGTTCTAAAAATTTTCAATAATTTTTTTAAAAATAATCACTTTTTTTTTGAAAAATAAAAAAAAGAAGTTTTTTGGTTGGTTTCACATATATAAAATTTGTGGTGAAGAATTCCGTTATTAAGGTGTATAAGGTTTTTTTTTGTCTGTGCATTTAGTAAAAAATTTCTTTTTTAAAAAAGAATCATTTATCAAATCAAATGTAGCTATAATATTTATAGATGTTACAAGTTTATTATATATAAAAGAATGAAAATGTAGAATGGTAATTTTAGTATACATATGTATTAAATTTATGTAACTTTAATTTTAAAATGTTAAAAATGTTTAATTTTAAAATGCCTGTTAAAAGAATCAACTTTTTATTTTATTCAATGTAAACTTTTCAGTATTTTATAGACTGGGTTAGAGTCAAATACGTATTTGTATTTGGAAGTAATAGGCTATATTCTCATATTTGTATTAATATTGTATTTGATTAAAAAGTTTCTTAAATTATTTAAATTACTTAAAGTATTTGTGTTAGCATTTTTGCATTGAAATGTGTTTGTAACTCCATAAGCGTTGACTGTTTTTGACGTGTTTATTTTAAGTAAAACCAAAAGATTTGGTTGTTTTTTTTTAAACTCAAAATGTAGTTTAAAAGTTTGTTTTTGATTTGTTAAAGGAGTTGTTTTCATTCTTCTATTTAGTGTACCATTTTATCAGTATTGTCTTGTTTTTTTTTTAAACCTAAAATGCAAATACTTGTGTTTGTATTTGGAAAATTCTAATAACATACATTTGTATTTAAATTTGTATTTGGGAATCTAGAATTAATTGTGTTTGATCAAATACATTTGACCCCAACCCTAATCATAGAGTAGTTTCCAGAATTTTTCACAATGTTATTTATTTATGCTTTTGTGTTTGAGCATTTTGTTAATTTTGATTATAGAAACAAGTTTATTATTATTCAATGTAAAAATTTTCATTTTAGTATGATGTGTGTTTTAGGGAAATGCTGTTTATGCTGGTTTTAAATAAGTTTCAGTGTATTGTTCTTTTTGAGGTTTCTTTTGCTGCAATGGGATATTTATCTTATACATAAAATATAATTAATGAAAATCTTTTATGAAATTATATCCCTCTTACAATAATATGATATTGCAAGTATTAGTAAATTATAGCTGAGGGAGATTTTATATAAATAAGTAAATCATATAAAATGACACATAAATATATAGATGTTATAAATGCAGATTTTAGCATGATGTTAAAAGTTATCCAGATTAGAACAATGACCCATTGTTCTGATCAATATTTCAACCAATGACTTGCTTGCTAACTAATAATCTAGATCTAATAATCTAAATCTAGATTCTCATTTGGTTTTAATTTTCTTGTTTTATATTGAATCTTTCTCTCTACATTTATCTTAAAGAAAATGTGACCATCAATAAAGCTTTAAATCCCAATGTGATAAAAGTCTTTTTTCAATACTTTTGAAAGGAAAAGAAAAATAGTATCAGATATTTTTTTTTGTCATCACAAGTCATTCTTAATAATGCCTTAATATGCAATCATATTGTTGTCCCAATCTTGTGTATATTATAGAAATGTGTTTTTAGACTGCTATATATTGAAAATTGTAAACCAATGTAATTTGTAATTTAATCAGTGCTAAAGGTAGTGCTTTGAAAACCAGTTGGGCTAATTTCAAACATTTATAAAGTATAAAGTATATAAAGGTTATATTTTTTAAATCTGCTCAGTAACCAATAATTTTGTGTATTTAAAAAAGATTTAAAAAAATGAAATATACATATTTTATCTTTAAAATTATTTATCATTATACGTTTTGTATCAATTTGTTTTTGTCTTGATAATTCTTAACTTTTCATTTAGTTATCAAATTTATAGATTATTATTTTACTCAACTAACTTATAATGAATAGTAAGTTGTCCTGGAATATCATTTTTATTTCTTTGGTTGCCGTGCATTTTATTGAAGCCATAACAACAGCTGGTGTTGTTGCTGTTGGAACTTTTGCAATAAATGCTGTCAATTTTTTTATATACATAAGCTGTATGTATATACTTTTTACCTTGAATTTTTTTATATTCAATTATAAAATATTTATTTTTAATATCTATTTAACAGTTTATTCTTAGAGTTTAAACTAGGGCTGAAGCATGTTCAGAAATGTATAATCAAAAAAAAAAGTGTGATTTTTCTTTGAATTTTTCAAGTCTATGCATTATGTTTTTAAACAACAAACTGATTAGGGGAGAGCGGACAGTTTTGAACGTTTTTTAATTCTTTTTTTTATAAACCAATATTTTATTTATTTTAGTCACTTTTTCAAATAAATCATCTATATACTTTCATTAAGTTAAACTATCTATATTTGTATTTTTCTATTCTATTTGTAATTTTCTATTGGATAATTTTTTTTATAGTCTGTTTTAGCCACTTTAATGTTAGGTCAAATAAGACTTATGTAAAGCTCTTAAAGCAACCACAGATATTTGCAAAATCTGAAATTTTACAAACAAAAAAATGTGTTAAAAATCAAAATAATTAAAGTTAACTCAAGTCAACATTGATTATTTGAATTTATCAATTTAATTTTGAAAGTTTCATGAAAGTTTAGATTATGAAAACTCAATCTAAGTTTTCTGAATGTAACAGAAACATTGTAATTGGTTTAGAAAAAAATAATTGGATTTACTCATCAATCATATCAAAGGTAGATATACTCAATCTTTTTGTCAGAAGACTTTTTTAAATAAGTTTAAATACAATAATGCTTTACAATGGCATTTTTTCAAAGCTGTCCAGATAACATTAAAAAATATAATATATTCACATTTATTTCTAAAATATGTGGCATATAAATAAAAATAGCGTTATTCTTTCCAATGTTATGCTGTATAATAAATGATACAGAAAACTGATTACTATTTTTATTTCTATACCAAATTTTTTAGAAATAAACGTGAGTGTATCTATTTTTTTAATGCTATCTAGATATATCAAAATATTTTTTTACATTTTTTGATATTTAATAAAAACATATTTAAGCTAAAACTTGTTTTTTAATTATAGTCTAATTGTTGAAAATATTTTTTGTTATCTGACATTTAATAAAAGCATATTTAAACTTGAGTTTTAAAATCACCAGTGATGTTTCATAGAAGTCTATGTGGTCATATATATATGACCACATAGACTTCTATATATATATATATATATATATATATATATATATATATATATATATATATATATATATATATATATATATATATATATATATATATATATATATATATATATATATATATATATATATATATATATATATATATATATATATATATATATATATATATGTATGTATATAGGCCTCTGCTTGAATAATAAGAAATGAGTGCAACTCATTTACTCCAGCTGTATAAGGAGTGAAGAGTAAATAACTCATAAATTGATGAGCTTGAGTATGAGTAAATAACTCATAAATTGGTTATTAGATACAAAATTAGATTAAAAATATACTTGTTACAAGTATATGCTTGCAGTGCACTGTGTACCCAAACCATGATCAACCCTAAACTCATGTCCCCAGAAAACCCTTTTGGGGGATAGCACATATCTAGTAGAACATTTAGATATAAATTTGGAAATCAAACTTCTATGTCCGAGAAAGATATTTTGATTTTAAATTTTGAAGCTAATAGGCCTAAAAAATTGCAAAATGACAGGGGATTTTGCATTTTTACAGAACTTATTACTCAACTTGGTTATGGGGAAAACATCTAGAAGTGGTTTTAAGTGAAAACATTAGTGTTTCTGAAAATTATTTTGGTTGTTTTTTATCATTCCCAAAACAAATACCTTAAAATAATAAAGGAAGCATTAAAAAAAGATGTTCAGGCAATGTACAATAGGAACAATGCGACAAAATTTGGTTGAAGTTGCCTCAAAGGATGCAGTGGCTGCAGAGATGGTTGCAACCTTGGTCATCTCAAACAAACTTCCTTCTCCTCATGGCACTGTCCGTTTCAGTCAAGCAAAGGGAGGCAACAGTTTTCCAGTTGTTGCAGGTATGATACAGTTTTAAACATTAATCATAAGCATTAATCTCCTGTGTCTTATAGCATAGTCTTTTCTTAGGGCCATCCAGGGCAAGAAAACTCTTTCCTGAGGGGAAAAAGCTAACAGCTATAGATATGCTCAAGGTTCAAAATGAAACTGGACTTTCTAATTGTGGCATAAAAAAACTTGCATCATCACTAATTTTAGCCACGCCTCATCAATATAGTGACAAGTTTGAGTCACTTGGAAGGACTCTTGCAAAACAGTTCACTTCAAACTACATTTAAGATTCAACAAAGAAAGATTTAGCCAGAGTTGTTGTTCACTGCAAAGATGTGTTTAATATAGTCAACTATGTTTCAAAAGTCAGAAATATTCCTGGAGAACCATTAATCAAAGTGTGAATTGATGGTGGAGGTGGCTTCTTGAAAGTATCCTTGGGAGTTATTGAAGCAAACAGAGAGGATTCTTCTCCTCCCTCAAAGCGTGATGCAAAAGACATAGTTGTGAAGCGCCAGTTATTAATTGCTGTTTCTGAAAACCTACCAGAGAGTTATGAAAACTTGAAAAGCATTTTGAATTTGCTCTAGTTGCAGAAAATTTTTTTTATTGTTTTATGTGACATGAAAGTAGGGAATCTCTTAACTGGACTTCAGTGTCATGCCAGTGCTCACCTTGTACATGGTGTGATGCAGATTCAAAAAATCTTCACATCTGCAGGAAACCCAGAATATTTGGTTCCATTCAAGCTGACTTTGATGCATTTCAAAGGAGTAGGTCAATTTTAAGAAGAGCAAAAGGGTTCAACAATGTTGTACACAAACCAATTATTTGCTTGGATAATCAAACACTCTTATTGGACTTTATCCTCTGTGTATATTATTTTTATTATTCAATAGTGATATTTCGGCTCATATAGTATAAGCCATTATCAAACTGAAAAAAACCATTATACAAAATATATATATATATATAAATATATATATATATATATATATATATATTTTCTCCTGCAATTTAGAGCATTGTAAACGCTTTATCTCATTTATATATATATATATATATATATATATATATATATATATATATATATATATATATATATATATATATATATATATATATATATATATATATATATATATATATATATAGTAAAATTATATATTGTTTATTAAATAACTAGTTTTGATTGTTTTAACAAATATTGCTAGCTCAATCTTTTAACTCTTAGGCACGCATCAAAATCAGAAGTCCTTTGAATATTTAAATGAGAAAGGTAATAATACTTATAATACTTAATAATACTTATACTACTAACTTTTAAATCACCATCTATGAATTTTTTTTTTTTTTTTTTTTTGCTTTTATCAAAGTTATTTTATAGAAAGTTTTTATTTATTTTTAATCATTACTAATATTTAATGCAGTAGCTCTACCTCTACAAAACTCTTATTCAAAAATATTCTTCTTACCCTGTATGAAATACTGTTATCATATTTGGGCTGCTTCTTCTAATGATGCTCTTTTTCCTCAAGACAAGGTTCAAAAATGCAAAATGTAGTTGAACCTGCCTAATCGAGTTTGGCAACTTGAGCCTCTCTCCAATCGTCGTAAAGTTGCATCTCTTTCTCTTTTCTACAAAAACTGCTCGAGCTCAAAGGAGCTATCATCTTTAGTTCTATCAACTAAAACGCATTCTTGTTTGATTCATCATTCAGCAAAGTCTCATCCTTTTATTTTATCTTATCCTGCATGCTCTAAAAACTTTTATTCATCTAGTTTTTTTTCCATGCGCTTTAACTCTTTGTAACTCTCTCCTAAATTCATATTTTCTTGACTTATACAACTTTCAACTTTTCAAGTCTTCTGCCAACCATTTCTTTGCTCTATAACTCTATTATTTTTTTCCTTGTAACTCCCAACTTAATTACAACATAATTACTGTCCCAACATAATTACTTAAAAAACAAATAAAGTGGTTGCTTGTCGCCTTGTTCGGAGTGAATCAGAATTAAAAATATGTATGTATATATATATATATATATATATATATATATATATATATATATATATATATATATATATATATATATATATATATATATATATATATATATATATATATATATATATATATATATATATATATATATATATATATATATATACACACACACACTTGTTTGGTCGTCTTTAATTTTTATTATAAAATGTAAACTTTATTATTTATTTTTAAAAAATTTGTTTTAGAAAATCGGAAAAAGTTTAAAAACTTTAAAAAGTTTTTTTTTAATTGATAGCCTGCCCAAACATCAGTCAATGTAGCAGCATTCCTCTTAAGTTCTATCTATTTGTCAGTCGATGTAGCAACACTTATCACATGTTCTACCTATTTGTCAGTTGATGTAGCAACACTAATCACATGTTCTACCTATTTGTCAGTCGATGTAGCAAAACTCCTCACATGTTCTACCTATTTGTCAATCTATGTAGGAATACTCCTCGCATGTTATACTTGTCTATTTGTCTATTTCTAATTGTGTATTTGTCAGTCGATGTAAACAGTAAAAAAATAAAAACATTCAGAATGTTTGGGAACAATAATTGCATAAATCAAAAAGCTTATATAGATGTAGGATTATTTATAACTTGATTTTTAATTGCAAATAATCAACTTTGTTACAAGGTTTATTTTACTTGCCTTTTCCTCAACAAAGTCATCAATCAGGTTTTTAAAGTCTATTTCATTACCCAGTTTCTGTTTAATGGGTAGTATGAAAAGTTTCCTTAAACGCCTACTCATTTTAAATCTAAGGTAACTTATTATCAATTTTAGTTTTGAAAAACTTCTCTCATAACATTCCACATTTACAGCAGTTGTAAGCAAAACTTGTAGCAGCATATCTAGTACTTTTTGTTGTCAAATAATATTAATATACTTTGGTCAAGTAATATTAATATATTACTTGACCAAAGACTTACATCACCAGCAGCAAGTCAACAGCAGGATACGAAACATTTTTTTCATCAAACTTCACAGTTAAGCTTGAAGAAAATCTTGTCAAAATATTTTGAAGACCAGATAACATTCGGTTTGAAATTGCTTTAACCTCAAGTTTTTAGAATATCAAAGTGTACCTTCATTCTTTTTTAACTCTTCCTCTCTTTTTTTCTTTCTTTCTTATGCTTTCTTCTGCTACGTGTCTGCAACACTACTTTCTTTCACGCACTTAATCTTAATGAGTAAAACATTTTAAATACCCGACGGGCATTTGTTTTTAAAAGTTACGATCTAAATGTATTTTAAATGTCTTTTAAACGTCTTTCAAACATTAATGTTTAAAAGACGTTTAAAACACATTTAGAACGTAACTTTTAAAAACAAATGCCCGTCGGGTAAATGCAAATAAAGTACACTTAAAGCATAAGAAATTTATTTCAAAATATTCAAATTATTTATTTCAAAACATTGCAAAAATGGTCTAAATTTTCAAATATCATCATAATGCAGCAATATAATAAATACGTTTTTACTTTTTTTGCTTAAGTATTCACGCAAAGCTGAGCAATTACTGAGTAAATTGCTTAAATTTACGTGAATAAAAATTTGAGCAAAACTGCTGAAGTTTTTATTCACGTAAAGCTGACCAATTAGTCACGTAAAGCTGACCGGCCTACTATGTTGACAAGTTTTAAAGCCTGTTTACACTGAAGGTTTATATTTTTATTGGTGACTTAAATAATTATTTTCTAAGGCCGATTTTCACTGAATTTTTTTTTTCGTTTTAAAAAACAAGCAAAAAAATAATAGACGGGTGGGGGTGGAGGTTTTCCAAAAGATAATAAACGTCCTCCCCTTCCTTACAATCCCCCAACTTGTATTAAGGACTCGAAAGTGTATGATTATGATTAAACTTTAACTCGCTCCGCATAACTTGCGGAACAGAAAACATTTTTTTTTAAGTTTATACGGTAAAATCGCCTAAGTTTGGTCGCCATTTTACTTAAACGGTCATTTAAGAAAAAAAATAAAAATAGCATGCAAAGCTCAAATTTTACAAACATTTTTTTTCTCTGAAAATATTTGATAATAATATACTACTCCGTAAATATAAATCTATAAAAATATATTAATGTTTATTTGCAACCTGCTGAAATAAATCTTTAGCAAAACAACAATTCGAAAAAAGCATACTAATAAAATCTAAGTATTAAAATAAATGATCAAATTTAAACTTAGTATTATTAAGAATCAATAGATAAATTATATTTACAAAAAAAAATTCTAATTTTGTTTGTCTACTTTTTTTTGAAAATTAGTGAAATTTTGAAAATACTCTATTTTCGGTCATTCACAGATAAACAACGAAGGAGACAATTAAATTGGTACCTGGTATTACTCATTTATTAGACATCTTTGTGATAAGCTATCGCTAAGAACTTCCAATAATATGCCCTCAAATTGTGCCATATCAATGTCATGCGAAATTTACAGGTAACCTTACATAAATTTAAATTTACCAGTAAATTTTGACATTTTTATAATGGAAACTCACCATGGTATTTTATTTGAATTAAAAATTTGTTTATAATTTCAAAATGAACCTGTTTTAAAATAAAATTTACCGGTCAATTTTCAGGTAAATTTTTATTTCAAAATTTACTGGTAAATTAACATCACTGATATGAACTAATTACAAAACAATAATATATATTGCAACTTACTAAAATAGTTCTTTTGCAAGTTAATATATCTATGTCATCTATGGATTTACCTAAGAAACCACGGATTGCTCGTGGTTTAAAGGCTGTGGGTTATGGTATGAGTAATAGGAAAGCAGTTATAACATTTGGCTTCAAAAGATCAACTTTTATTGACAGAAGTAAAAGAAAGCATACTTAAAAAAATGGCACCACCAACTAAGTTGAGCAACAAAATCGAGGATATACTAGTAAAAATTTTAATATTTATGAGTGATATTGGTTTTAGTTTGACTGGACTTAAAATACTGTGTGTTGTTAATAACTATTCTCGAGTCCTTAATAAAAAAGGGGGAGGGGGAGGAATAAAAAGAGTTGGGGTTGGAATTTTAGTCCCAATCTAATAAACAGAGGGGGGAGGGCGCCTTTTTTTTATTTTTTAATAAAAAAAAGGCGCAAATTTTAAAAGGTAAAATTCAGTTTGTTTGCAATGTTTACAAATTGTCTTTTTTTTATAAACTGTTTAACTTATAGTATTTTAATGACCTACTGTACATTTTTTTTTTAATTATTTAATCAAGATTTGCACAAGTTTTTGATATGTACGATATACATGGATACGTAACTAAGCTATTTTTAATTGCGATAAATCCAGCTTTTAATGAGATTAAGGCAATTTTTAAGGTAGTGTGTCAAAAGGTTAGGGCTAAAGAAACTTTGCAGTAGCAACAAAAAGGCTTCAGTCACTGTTCTCGTTTGCTGTGATGCTTTTGGGACATTCTTGTCTGTTCATGTTTTATTCAAGGCCAAAGTTAATATTTATAATAAATTTAAAAAGCATTTAAAATAATGTGCAGAGAATCCGGAAAATTCCACATTTTACTATTACTTAATTATTTGTATCTTAGATGCTAAGTGCAAGAGAATTTTGAAAATCTTAGATGCTAAGGGCTGGAGACTTTTGAAAATCTTTTTGTTTTCCAGATTTCTTTTTAATTTTTGCTAAACTATTTATAAGTGCTAAATAATTGGATTAAATAACTGCCCTTATTTATGGTTAACTTATCACAAAAAAATTGTTATTTTAATATTGATTATAATAAAGTTTGGCGAGCACAAGAAAAATCTAAAAAATCTCTGCTCTTAATTGTGAATGTCTGAGTTTTTTAATTTTTGCCATCCATAAAGTACGTATGCAGGTATGGGGGAAGGTGGAGTTTCCCAAAAGTGTTTGAACGCGTACAAGGGGGAGGGGGTGTGAAAGGCAGTGAGTATGTAGGCAGTTTGACTAACTCTCCTAAAATTAATTGTTTTGTTTTTTTTAAACATTGAATTTCACGTGTGTAACAAAACAGTATTGTGGTTTTTATTCGACATCGTTTCAAATAATTTTTTTTTTTTACCAACGTAATTTGATTGGTAGCGAGATGAGAAGCAAAAAGGAATGAAAAATAAAAAACAAATGATAGCAAATTTTTTTTGAATTCTTTTTTTTAAATTACTGTACGCAAACTGCAAAACTTTTATCTGGAGGTGTACCGGATTGGAAATTTTGAATTCCGGTCGGAACCGGAT